ACTATTGACTGGTACTCAATGAATACTAGGGAGTTGATGACTGATTGTTCAGTGGAGAGGCTGAAGTTGCCGTGGGCAATTAACTGGAGGAGTAAGAGTGAAGGAGAGGGAAGCTGTCCAGATACCAGCCATCTAGGAATAAGGAAACCTTTCCAGAAAGGGTAATTAAGCCAGCTCAAATATGCTTGGCAAATGGGGTGGACCAAGTCCCAGGCAGTGCACCTCTCCTAGTGGCCACCAGGGGGCGGCAGATGGCATGGTCTAAGTATCCAGTTGTCCCATGGTGGCTGGATGAACCAGTCAGCTAAACCCTGCTAGAAGGGAGATCTTGGGCACAGGTGATTTGCACAGGATAAGGTGGCCTTCCAATTAGAAGGCTTGGAAAGTAGGATGCCTGGACCAAGGTTGGGAAAACCAAAGGATAAACACATGGATGGTGGACGTCAACAGTATCTAAGAACATGAGCTGAATCCTCCAGAATCAAAGCAGTGAGTGAACTTCAAAAGATCTAGATATTCTGCTAAGAACAAAGGGCTTCAGGGCCTTGGCGAAGGAAGCACGACATCCAGGCATGGTATAGTGGCCAGGGCAAAGTCTGGAAGGCAGGAGTCTTGGAGTCCCATCTCTAGCTTATAGGTTCTTAGCCCTTTGCCTGATGGATGCTTTTGCTGTGTGACCTAGGGATTGACCTTCCCCTCTCTGAGCCTCAGGAGTCTCATCCTATACAGAGAGGATTGGTGTCTGGAGACTCAGAGACCAGCCCTATCTTTGCACTGGTATCCATGATGGCCAGGGATCCTTCTCACTTAAAGGGGCTATGGGAACAAAGCAGTTCAGTTGGCTACAAAGACATTTCTTCACTACCCCTGTCTGCGTATATCTGCTTTTCTTAAAGCTTTTGATGGGCCCTGACCCATGGGACAGGGTTGAAGCTAAGCAGTCTAACTTCTAGATGCACTGCCCCATGTCACAGCACACATCAACACGTTCCCACATACCACTGTAAATGCAATTATTTTTGCTTTAAAATAGTCTTGTAAGTTAGCGCATTTTTATAATTTTGCTTTCAAGATTATTTTGCTAATTTAATTTTCAGTGGCTATGATTTCTCAGAAAGCATCGGGCACAGTTAGGAATTCCTTGAAGTGAAAGGATCCACTAATTGTTTTCAAATATAATAAAATTTGTATGGATATCAAGTTGAATAATTTAGGGAGTTGATATAGTACTGTATTTTGTAGACAGGTAATGTTTTATTTTGGAGTTGTCATTGTGTGTCTTGGAGTCAACAAGCATGTTGGTGGTGTGCATTTCTTGAGGCCCTTGAAAAGCTTGTATGTCTTCAGTCCTGTGTCTATGGCCCCTGATGAATAAAATCCTGCTGAGGCAGCTGAAATGGGCCTTGGGGTGGGGATCCTTTCTTTCGGTTATTGCGTTTTGTCTTATGTCTTCTGGCCCGGGAGCTGGAGCAAGCTTTGAGTGCATCAACAAAAAAAGGAGCCCCCCTGACCCCCACTTCCCTGTAGTCTCAGAACCTTCATTGTAAATCTTTTTTCCAGCCCAGTCCTATAGGCAGGCACCCAGGTGGCAGAATCTCCTTGCTCTGGGGTTTTTGTAAAGTCAGGTTTCCTCCCAGTTCTCTCAGGCACACCACATTCAAGCCGAACACCATCCCCATTGTCGACGCTTCCACAGAAATAGATATTGCACAAAGGGCAATATCTCACCAGAGAATTTGTTTTCTCCTGCTGATAATTTCTCTCCATAAACATTTTCTGAGAGAGATGAATAGGTGTACCTTTCTGGATCAGCGGGCAGATGCTGGGGCGTGAAATGACTTTGCGTGGCATGTTTTATGTATGAGGGGAGGGTCCCCAGGACCACCTCTGACTGGCTGCAGGTCGCCAGGTTCCTCTCCTGCCTGTGACTGACACTTGGGCAGCCGCTTCGCTCACTGTTGCTCACCTGAAGCGTTACAGGCCCAGCTTGGGTGGAAGCTACAGAGAGAGTCCCCAAGGATCGGTGCAAAACATCACCAGCCTAGAACACTCTGGGGCCACATGAAGTCCTAAGTCCCCTCCCTGCATTTCACAGCCAATGCCACAGTCTTCAGATATTTATTTTGCTGGTATTTTTTTTTTATTGCCCTCTCTCTGTGTTTATAACAGTGACAAAGGGAATGAGTTCCTTTCCATCATGGTGTTTATGAATCTCAAAGGAAAAAAAAAAGAGATGTGACCTCAGAAAAATAAAGAAGCTAACATAAAAAGGGCAGACACGGTGACCTTCCACAAAATGAACACATGTGGGATTTTTCCATTCATCTCCCTCTGGGGGAGGGGAGGGTGATTGTTAATAACAAAGTGGCACCGAATAACTTGCCGACAGTTCATCAGGGTCCCTCTAAAGCCCAGAGTCAACAACACCAAGTGACTCATGAAGGTGGCAAGCCACAAGCGGGTGGGTGGGGACACAAGTTCAGGTCCAGGCCACAGGCTTCCAGAAGGGTTTATTCCCACCCCAGGGTGGAGATGCCAGATACAAGTAAAAATATAGGATGCCCAGTGATACAGTTGGCTGATGAACAACCCAGGTTTGAACTGTAGGGGTCCACTTACAGGTGAATTTTTTTCGATAAATACAGCCAGCCCCTCCACATTTTGGGTTTCATATGCAGGGATTCAACCAACCTCCTAAGAAAACAGTATTTTTGAATTTCTAACTGCATATTCCCAGCTGCAGATGGAAAATACTGTTGGTTGAAATATAGTTGGTCAAATTTGCAGAGTCAAAGAGCCCACTATAGAATCCACAGTTGTGCTTGGATTTTCGACTGCCCGGGGGTCAGCCGTCATGTTGTTCAAGGGTCAGCTGCACTTGATCTTTAGGTAAGCAATGAATACATTTTTCGTGTATTCGGGATATACCTGTAGTGAAAATGTTTATTTGAAATTCAAATTCAACTGTGTATCCTGTACTTTCTCTGGCAGCCTTACCTCAGAGATGCAGCTCTTGTCTTCATTTCAAAAGGACTTACATATTTCCAGGTTCAAACTCCACCAGGGGGAGGCTCCCTCCAGTCTCAGATTCTAAAACCTTACGCCATCTCACAGGCCCAGCTCAAATGCCACATTTTTGCAAAGATTTCCCCCTCAATCATGTTCCTCCTTTCCCTCTCTCCTCTCCCCTCATAGTATTTTATTTTCCTAATTTCATTTATATTTCGTTGTTTGTAAGTCTGTCTCCCCCACTAAAAGGGGAGCAACTCAAGGGCAAGGACTATATCTAGATTCCTTTCCCCATTGTCCCCAGTACAGCTTCACCTGCACCTGATGTGTAGTATGTACCCTGAATGTTTGCGAATGAATGACGGATCTTAGCTAACGTACTTTGAATGCTGATCATGTGCTAGGCATGGTTCTTAAGTACTTTACAGGAATTGAAGTTCTTTCATTTTCGAGTAATTCTCTGAGGTAGCACCATTTTTATTTCCATTTTAGAGATGGTGAAATGGAGGCACAGAGAAGCTCAGTAACTTGCCCATAGTCACACAGCTAGTAAGGAACAAAACTGGGATTTGAACCCAGGCTATATGGCTCCAGGGTCTGTGTTCTTAGCCTCTGTAAGATCTTGAGTGACTGGATGGATAGAAGAATGAGTGAAAGGACAGATTAAGGAATGCATGAACAGAGGTGCAAATAGGTGTTCAGATCAGGACACAGGAAGTGGAGCCAAGGTGGGTGTTAGGAGAGCAGAGACTGAGGAGGCAGGGAGGTGACAGGAAGACAAGCTCAGGGGTGAACCTAGGCAAATCCATGACTGGAACAGAAAGGCAGCTCAGCAGCAAAAGGCGCGGATCTTCTTTCTGCGTTGAAAGTCAATCCCGTGTCCCACACCCTCTACTTCTCTGAAGGGGCCTGGCTGTATCTTTGTTCCTAGCCTCCTGCCCCCACAGCCCTCCTCTTCCTGGAGCAGAACCCGCCCTCTTCTCTCTTAAGAGGCTCAGGCGAGAGGACCTCTGAGGCTGACCCTGTCTTCCCCCTGGCTCTCAGCTAGGAGTTAAGAGGTTTGGCGCCAGCACCTTCTTTGCTTGGGCTCCAGTCCCTCCGTGTCTCATGCACGTCTGCCTGGCTTTTGCCAGGGGTGTTACACAGAGGAACCGATGTGGTCTGGGGTGATCGTGGGCTCCATTCAGAGCGCCGCCGCGGTCATGATAGCAATGTAATAACCCCTTCTTCTTCAAGCCTCGGGAACAGTGGGCAGTGGCTAGCTCGTGCCTTCCAACTAGGCTTTTTTACTTTTTGAAAATTGTGGTTAAAAAAACACACAGAACATAAAATTTACCATCTTAGCCTTTTTTTTTAAGTGGACAGTTCAGTCATGTTAAGTACATTCATATTGTTGTGAAACAGATCTCCAGAACTTTTGCATCTTGTAAAACTAAAACTCTGTACCCATTAAACAACAATTCCCCTCTTCTACTGTCCCCAGGCCCTGGTAACCACCGTTCTACTTTCTGTGTCTGTGACTTGGACTACTCCCGGTGTCTCATATCAACAGAATCATACAGTATTGGTCTTTTGGTGACTGGCTTATATTACTTCATGTCCTCGAGGTTCATCTATGTTGTAGCATTTATCAGAATGTCTCTCCTTTTGAAGGCTGAAAGATATTTTGTTGTATGTATACACCACATTTTGTTTATCCATTCATCTGTTGATGGACATTTAGGTGGTTTCCATATTTCAGCTTTTGTGAGTAATGATGCCATCAACATGGGTATACAAGTATCTCTTCAAGTCCTTGCTTTCAGTTGTTTTGGTTATATACCCAGAAGTGGGATTGCTGGGTCATATGGTAGTTCTGTTTTTAATTTTTTGAGGAGCTTCCATACTGTCTTCCATAGCCCTTGCACCATTTCACATTCCTACCAACAGTGCACAAAGGCTCCAATTTCTCCATATCCATGTCAACACTGTTTTCTGTTTTGTTTTTGTAGTAGCCATCCTGATGAGTGTGAACCTGTTCTTTATCAGGAGGCTGTATTTCTGGAACGGCTTAGCGTGATCTCTAATTATCCACTGGAATTGAGCAATGGGGAAAGCAGGGCACCATGCTTCGGGCAGATGACCTGGTAACCTCGACAGAGAGCTATCCTCATTCTGTCCTTGACTTTGTGACTCTGGGCAAGTTGCGCCACCTCCGAGTTTCCACCGCCCACTGGGGACCGGGCCTTCTCGACGACAGTCTCCTCCCTCCTCTGCCCTGATGTTTCTTCCTGGAAAAGACAGGAAGCGAGAGATGGGAAATGACTTGTTAGGTATGCGTCTTAATCTCAGTAGCCATCACCCCAGTGATTATTTTTTTTCTTTCTGTTATAACAATAATTCATGCTTAGTTTTTGAAAGTAAGATAACTCAGAAAAGCATGAGAAGCAAGGAAGTATTTGTCTATTATTTTGTCACCCGGAGGCAACCACTGATAACATTGTGGCCTGTTTCTTGTAGTTTGTTTTTTAAGTGAGGCAGACTTTTCTCATCCTTGAGAGTCCCTCTTTCTCTAAAGAAGAACTCCTTTCACAGCAGTCGGTAACAAAATTAACTGAGCTCTCAATTTCTTAAATATATCTTTCTTTGTGCTATTCACTCCTTCGGTGTGTCACTGTGAGTGAAAAGCCATTAATTACAGTGGAAATGCTGCTTGGAGACAGCTTATGAAATTATGTTAATATGTATTGAGAGAAAGAAAGGAAGGGGAAAGGGAGCTGATGGGCAAAACAACCAGCCCATTTAAATGGATAATTTTCTCTCCTTTCAAGTTTCAGAGTTGAGGGTCACTATATTTCTGAAAGGACTAGAAAGCGATGATTGTAGTTTTATTTTGTCAAAATCAGTAAAACTCGACTGAAAAGCAAAGTTGATAAACTAGCAAAAAGAATGACTTTGGTAAATGTAATGTAAAACTTTTTTTAACACACATATATCGGTTCAGGAAAAAAGAAATTTTCATGAGAATCTGCAGATTTATAGGTGGAGTGTGGAGAGCTCTAAGTGTAAAAGGCAACCTCCTAAGGATTTCTGGCCTGGGGAAACGATGTTTGGAGATGCTTCACCTGGCATTGTCTAAAGCAAGCATGTCAAACTCAAAGGCTAACACGGGCCAAATTAACGAGGCATGAGGCCCACCGGCTGTGAGTTTGACATGCTTGGTCTAAAGCAGGGGTGGACAAACTTTTTGACTCGAGGGCCACAATGGGTTCTTAAACTGGACCGGAGGGCCGGAACAAAAGCATGGATGGAGTGTTTGTGTGAACTAATATAAATTCAAAGTAAACATCATTACATAAAAGGGTACGGTCTTTTTATTTTTTATTTTTATTCATTTCAAACGGGCCGGATCCGGCCCGCGGGCCATAGTTTGCCCAAGGCTGGTCTAAAGGGATTGGTCTTCAGTGCTGCTGGACACCCAGGTTTTGTATATATCGTCCGGTCTGGCTGGGACCCCTGAGGATGGCCTGACCTGGATCCTGGGCTGGTGGAATAATGAATGCATGAAAGGTGTTTGGCACACAGGAAGTGCTTAATAATTATTAGGTAATAATTGCTATTATCTGGGGTGGAGGAAGCCAGAATCTAGATCTTCTTGGCAGCATGGTGGGGGGTGGGAGAGAGTCACACTTGGAAAGGGGACAAAGGTGTGGAGTTGATTAATCCCTTTATTTACTTTCTAATTCCCCCTAATCTAGGCTTCCAGGGTGTGTGTGTGCACACACGAGCGTGTGGTGGTGGTGGTGGTGGCGGTGTGTGTATGTAGGTGTGTATATGTGTGTGTGTTGGGACATATAGAGTGGGGAAGGCTCAGGAAGTAGGAAGAGAACTAATATTTATTAAGTACTTGTTATATATAGACACCATGCTAAGCATTAAAAAAATTCTTGCAAGAGCAATTAGTTAACTTGACTAAACATTTGGACCAGGCTTGTTTGCCTAACCTTAAGAGACATTCCTTTCATTTTCTGTGGACCTATAGAGAGATGTTTTGCCAATAAGTTTTGAGTTCAAGTCCAAGAATTTCCCCAATTTGTGATAAATCTGAGACTCTCCTTTTTGGGGTGTTAAGTGGTTTTCTGATGTAACAAGGAACTGCACCATTGTTGGTTCCTTTTCAGCAGTCAAGGCCTCTCCTCAAAGGGCTGAGAGGGGTGTCCTGAAGATATTGGCATGGGCTTGCCAGAAATGGTCTCCAGGCCATGTGGGAACAAGGAGGCCCCATGGTCCCTGTCTGGTCTGACCCAAACCCTGGGTAGAAGGGAAGCAAGCCCCAACCTGCAGGCCAAGTCTGATACTCAGTGGGACAGTGGGCCGACTGCCATCCTTGGCACCACTGGGGCCAAATTTCTTGCCAAACAGGCTGGAGTTTCAACACGTTGGGAGAGCGCAGGAGGCTGGGAGCATCACTTAGCTGTCGAGCCCGAAGCTGGGCCACAGCAGATCCTAGAGCAGTGGTTCTCAACCTTCCTAATGCCGCGACCCTTTAATACAGTTCCTCATGTTGTGGTGACCCCCAATTTCATTGTTACAAACTGAACATAATTAAAGCATAGTGATTAATCACAAAAACAATATGTAATTATATATGTGTTTTCCAATGGTCTTAGGCAACCCCTGTGAAAGGGTCGTTCAACCCCCAAAGGGGTCGCGACCCACAGGTGGAGAACTGCTGCCCTAGAGAGTCAGGCAGCACAGCACTGGAAGGGGGTGGGCATGGGCACGGGCACTGGGGATTCAGCCCTCTCTGGGGGAATTTTCTGTACCATTTAACTCCAGGGAACTGGGCTGTGATGGGTATGTCACAAGACACCCCAGGATGAAGATGAGCTTTCTTCAGGTGTTCTACCTGTGAGATCTTAGAAGTTAGACTAGAAAGGTTTTTAGGAACGATCTAGTCTACGGTGATTTCCTATTCTTGTTGAGCCTGAGTCAGGAGAGGAGGTGAACTATAATTAATAGATACTCTTTAAGAAAGCAAGACATTTTATAGTGTGTCTTAGAAAGATTTCTATTCAAAATGATTGCAGTCCTTAATTTATATACAAAGTAATTATAGTTTTTAACATTTTGGCCAAGGGAAAGCTTCAGCAACCAGTAAATGTTATTTAAGTGGGATGGAGAGTACCACATTTTGCTGGGTAATGATAAGAATCACACTTAATGAATGTTTACCATATTTCAGGCCCAATTCTAAGTGCTTTACTTATCTTAATTCCTTTGATCCATGTAATAACCCCATGCAAGGGTACCGAAATTATTCTTGTTTTAAATATGAGGAAACTTGAAGACAGAGGGGTTTAGTAACTTACCCAAGGTCACACAGCTAATAAGTGGCAAGCTTGGATTTGAACCCAGGGAGTTTGGCTTCCGAGACTATGCTCATAAGTACCGTGTGTTAAGGTGCCCCAGATCATGAGGACTTAATTTCTTTGGATATTTTACCAAGTGACCGTTCATGTAAAGTATCTGTGGGCATGTCATGTGACTGTTTGGGGATCAGTTGGAACAAATTGGGAAGACAGCTTGACTCCTCCCTTCCCCCCGTGTGATAAATATTACAAATGAGAAAATTAAAACCCAGAGATGTAACTGCCCTAAGGTTACATCGTAAAAAACTGACTGGAAGTCCGAACTTAACACCCATGCTGGGCTTTCCTCAATAGATCACCCTTTGTTCTGAATGAACTCTATAGCAAACTTTTAGAGTTCTGAATTCTCTTTCCTCTCTCTCTCTCTCTCTCTCTCTCTCTCTCTCTCTCTCTCTCTCTCTCTCTCTCTCTGTTTCAGTCCAAATTCTTCTCAATCAAGAAGTGATTGCACTTGCCTCTGCAGTACGTGTGATCCTGGGTTCTGATTTTTTTCAATAAACACTCCCGGGGCTCTCCCATTCCTGTCTTGCCTCCTTTGCAGGGGCTGTGCATGGAGGGAGAAGACAGGATCTGCTTTGCTCTTTATCAGTGTCAGGATCAGAGCAGGGTGGCTAGGAAAGGAGCGTGAGCCATGAGATTCAGACCACGAGATCCAGGCATGTGATGGGGGTGATGGAAACCAGGACCTGGCGAGAGCCCGAGTCATGGGGGGGCCACACCCATCACCCCATCCACTCCTCCCTCAGCCATTTTTCATGTCACTAATTACACTGCAGTGCCACGACTAACATGTGCCATAAGAAACAAAGATTTGAGTGTCATGGTTGGGTGTTGGAAATACTGAAAGAGTTCTGGACTGGGAATCAGGAGGCCTGTCTTCCAGGCCTGGCTCTTCTACTGATCAGCTGTGTGGCCTTGGGCAAGTTGACACACGTCTCTGGGCCTCTTGTTTCTCATTTGTTATGTGGGTTAATCAGCTGCTTGCCTGTCCTCACAGGATTTCTGTGAGGCTAAAGTAAGAGGACTTAAGTGAACGTGCTTTGGAAATAACGATGCAATGTAAAGATGCGAGGGGTGACTGTCCTTGCACTGAGCCAGATCCAAACACGCAGCATGTCTTGGTCCCTGTCCTGGTGGTAAATAGAGGCATGAAAGACTTTATTTGCTTCCTCCTACCACATTAAGTCTCATTCCCTGGAAAGGAGTTGGGCACTGGGAAAACAGAGCCCAGCCTGGGATTGCTTCCATCCCTCCCACCTAGTGTTCACTTTTTGGAGCACTGTGCTAGGAGTCAGGAGGCTGGGAACCGACCCCACCCTGCCACAAAAAGGCTGTATGCCCTGGACACCTCTTAGCCGCTCTGCTCCTTGGCTGGCTCTAAAATTTTGATGCCACATCAGCAGCTTGAATGCAGGGAGGTGGATCAGCTCTGGGATCTGGAGGAGGGAAATGGGAAAATTCCCTTTCTTTCCATGTCATCTATCTCCTTTTATTCAGTCAGCTCATGGTTGTGCCAAGCTCTGCCAGATGCTAGGACCAGTCGTGATAGACAGACGTGGCTAGCTTTCCGGGGATTCCAGGGAAGCAGGAGAGACAAGCATATGCAGATGATCCCACAGATACAGAATGGCAATAGTGGAAAAGGGTAAGAAGGAAAAGAAGAGCAAGCAAGCCATTGGCAGGTGGGGGAAGAGGGACCAAAGCAGCCTATTATGGAGTTGAACTTAACGGGTAACAAGGAACCGGCCAGCTAGAAGGGGACAGACCTTCCATGAAAGGGAACAGGTGTGAAGGCCTGGGGTTTGAAGGTAAGGGTGCAGCCCAGAGACTGAGGGAGGCAGCCAGGGGCGGACCATTGTTGGTGTGATGCCCAGAGGCTGGCTGAGCCCTTTCTTAAGGGCCTTGGTCAGAAGTAGAAGTCTTGATCCTAATCTTGACAACCTTTTTATCTTAGAATATGAGCTCCACTTACCTAGATCTTCTGAATATAATTAGAATTTCTTATTTTCCAGACAATCTGATTGATCACATTCAACTAATCCCATAAACATTCACTGTACTCAGCCCTAGAAAATCAGGATTTAAAAAAAAAGGCTTTCCTTGCTCTTCTGGTCCCCTTCTGGAGGACAGGCTGGGGAGAGGGCAGCGGGCAGGCACGTTAAGTAACTCTGAAGCAAGACAGACTGAGATGAGTGCCACGCGAGAAAGTGCGAAGGTTCAACGACCAGATCTGACAGTTACAGGAACTTGTCACATTAATGGCCACATCTTTGAAGTGCTTGTCACATCCATGGTGAGGGTTTCCAGGAAATAGTGTAATTGAATCTGAGCCCTGGACAATGATAAGACTTTTTATTTTTAATATATTTTTTCCAATTTAAAAATAAGCTCCTAAAAGAAAACTCGGGAAACACTGAAAAGGGTAAAGAAGAGAATCATAACCATGTGTAATCCAGAGAAACCACTGTAAACATTTTAGTATAATCTTCCAGAAGGCTTACCTATGTTTAACAACAGTGAAATCATTGTATGGATACAATTTGGCAGCACTCTCTTTTTGCATTCCATGTGTCAACAGTTTTTTCCTATGTTGTTAAGTATTCTTCAAAAACATGATATAGAATGGCTGTTCAATATTCTGTTCTTTGGATCTGTGTAACCTCTTCATTCTCATCGGATGGATGTTTTGGTAGTTTCCAAATGTGTAGCTACTATGAATAATGCTCAAGTGAGCATTTTTGTACATGAAGCCTGTGCCAGCATCTGGGTACTCCCTCAGGGCAGACTCAGAGGAGCAGAATTGCTGGGGGAAAGGGTGTGAACAATTGCTATGGCTTTGGATACCTATGGACCCATCACACCTCCACCAGCAA